TTCAGGGGGTCTGTTAAAACTCAATGGGCTCAGGGGAGGCGAGAGAGACGCTGACTCCCGCTGTAACTTTACCTGCTGGTGTCACTGTTGGACAATGTTTCTTTAGAAAAACGAGTGATTTATATACTTTTTAATTTTTTTTGTAATATTGGCGTTGTTTTATTTTTGTACTACAACTTTTTTTTCTCATCCAATATTTTGAGAAGGCACAGTCTCCCTTACCTCCTCCTCACCCCTGTATATATGAGGAGTTCATGTGCAAAAACCGATAACTCCATTTGTATTTTATTTTTTCAGAAATCACGTTTTTTTTTATTGCGCATTCCAAGTAATATCAATCAAACTGCAGTTGGGTTGTTTTGATTAAGTAATAATAACTTAAACAAATACAGGTAATTTACAAAATTAAATTTCATTGAAAGTATGGTTTTTTTTTACATATTAAAAGTTTGTTTTATAGCAAAAGCAGATAACTCCAACAGTCGTTTTATGGCAAAAGCAGATAACTCCACATTTCATGTTTTAGAGTTTAAAAAAGCATCCTCAGATGACAATGTAGATGCCTGACAAACGTTGTTGTGATCATAAACTGTATGGATGTGATTACACGCAATACACGGAGCTTTTCCCTCACCATTGTAACGCGCTGCTTTTGCAAGGTTCCGTAAAAACGTTTCAGCTTTTATTTTCCTTTTTCGCCCTGAAGAAGATATCACGAGATATTCCACATCATTATATGTGGAAAATAATGCACGGCAATCAGCTCTTTTTTTTTAAAGTGGCGTTTATCGGTTTTTGCAAATGAACTTTTCATATATATATATAATACATCTACCCATTTGATCCGCAGGCCTGGAGGTGCTCTTTACAGCATAGACAGCATGCCTGACTTACGCAAGAGGAAAGCCATCCCTCTCGTCCGAGACCTGGTGAGTCATACAACCCCACTTCAGTACGTCAAACTTTCAACTAAAGCATTGCTGGATCCAACATCACCTTCCCAACTCTTCAAAAGCACCGTCCATACACATCAGAGTGGTTATTTTGGGCAGCAGTCTGTCAAGGGTCTGTAGTTCACAGAAGTCGCTGTGGCACATCTGTTTGAATCACGGCTACAGGGTTAGACGTTATTAGAGCATTACTCAGCTCCATTCACCCTGTAGACTGATGAATCTCCAGCCTCACGACTGCCTCAATGTCTCCTTTACAGTCCCATTAGTTTTGGCCTGTGTATTTTTTCCTGAGCTGACTTCATTGTCTGCCAACCTTATTTTGTGCCTGTAACCTACTTTGGGAGCTTGTTGAACTTTTCCACTGATACTTAAAAAAAGATTAGGTGGCAAATAAAATCAAACATCATTGGTTCTCGCATGGATAGAGGCAATATAGATGTTAAAGCCAACATGAAATCTAAATTGATCTAACTAATACAAGTTCCTGGTCTTATCATGCCTAATCCATCAGTGCATTTTCAAATACAAGCAAGATATAATGTAATAACCACATTTAAATGTAGCTAGTAATTCGATCTGGTTACAGGCAACAACATGTATTTATGTAGTGCTAAATTGATTGCATTGCAGTTAAATTCAGTTTTAACAAAATGCTCAAGAGTTGTGTTGCATTGGTGCATGTTTATTAACTACATCGAACAAGCTGCAGAATCCATTTTTGAGTTTACTTGTTAACAACGCTTTCTGAAAAACTTCTCATTAGATTGACAGGAGAGTTAGTTGTGTATTGATTAAACAAAGTAACAAGAGCCAAAAAAAAAAAAAATCGTTCATTAGCTGACAGCTGTCGTATAGGTCTGGCTGTACTTATTCAGCCAAGAATGCTCCTGGCAACCTTCACTGGAGATCTGCCAGAGCAGGCAACGGCACCAGGCTTGCTTTGACGCTACGGACTGGAAGATGAGGGAGAAATTACCATACTGCACTAAACAGTTTTAATCCAGTTTACCGTCACCGATACTGACTCTAAGAGTCAGAAGCCAAAGTGCTGACTTGAGCAGAATTAAAATGCATGTCAAAAACAATTCAACTAGAGACAAAGTACCTCCTCCCTCTCTTTCTTTTTTCTCTCTGCTCTCTCTGTATTTCAGTCTTCCACATGCATTCTTGTTGTACAAGCACTTTTTGTGGCCTCTTTACATAAATACTTTCTCCATGTGGTTGAGTCAGTAGATTTATAAAAAAGTATAACCTGGATTTTTTTTTCCCTTTTTTTATTTTTAACTTAATCAACCCTGGTTGAGTTGATGTATGAATTAAAAACTTTTCGTGTTATCTTTGGCAAACTTCTAAAAAAATTTTTGTTTTTGTTTTATTTCTTTTTTCCAATGCCTCACCTCCTGCAGGCAATGGTAAGTATTCACAATTTCACTTTTCCAGCACTCCTGGGTAAAATGCTTCAATTCCAACCACAAATATTTTCTGCTAATTATCACTGCACACTTTAGAAGGAATTTCTTTATGAAACTATGGCATTTTATCACAAATTCATAACTATTTTTTATTATTTAAATTTTATTGAAATTGTGTATCTTTTTAATTTAGTTTTATTCTATTAAATTTATTTAGTTTATGTATTTTTTTATCAATCTGTTGTTAAAAGTTGGACAAATAAAAATATTGTTAAGAAGTATTCAATTTCTTATTAGAAAGCAATCAAATGTATTTATTCAACAAAATATATACATTTTCTCCTAATTGTTTTTTTTTTTTCTCTTGTAGTCTCTTGTCCAGAACTCTCGAAAAGCAGGCATCACTTCTACTATGGCCTCCAGCACACTTAACAATGAAGAACTGGTATGTCAACAAGCCCCGTTTTCTTCCTGGACATTCATATTTTGCAGTTCAGAACCGTTTTCCATTTACCTGTTGATTTATTATGACCATGCAGAAGAGTCACGTCTATAAGAAGACCCTGCAGGCTTTGATCTACCCCATTTCCTGTACTACACCACACAACTTTGAGGTGTGGACGGCCACCACCCCCACCTACTGCTACGAGTGCGAGGGGCTTCTGTGGGGCATCGCTCGACAGGGCATGCGCTGCACCGAGTGTGGGGTCAAGTGTCACGAGAAGTGTCAAGATTTGCTTAATGCCGATTGTTTACAGAGTAAGATGCTCTTATTGAGTTTCTTTCTTCACTCTCAAATGTTGTCTTCAATACAAAAAATACACTACTGTAAAATGCTGATTTATTATCAATATTGGAAACCGTTTGTGCTGATTAATATTTTTTTATACTAGTTTTTGCTACCTAATATTGTTTTTGTTAATCAATCGGAATTGTAAAAACAGAGTAATGATGCTGAAAATTCAGCTTTGCATCACATGAATAAATTATGTTTTACAGTATATTAAAATAGAAAACTTTACGTTATTTTAAATTGTAATAACATTTCACAGTATTACAGTTTTTTTTCTGTATTTTTGATCAAATATATGCATCATTGATGAGCAGAAGAAACGTCTTTAAAAAACATTAAAAATCTTACTGATCCCACAATTTGTGAACTGTAGTATATATCTATATATTTATATAGAAAAAAATACTATATTTTTAAAAATATATTACTATATTTATTAGTTTTACCATATTTAAAAATTCGTCTAAAGTTTGGAAAAATAATGATTTTTAGTCTCTTATGCTCACCAAGGCTGCATTTTATTTGAATATAAATACAGTAAAAACTGAATTATTGTGAAATATTATTACTCTTATTACTATAACGCTTTTTATTTCAATATATTTTAAAATGTATTTTATTTCTGTGATGACAGCTGAATTTTCAGCAGCCATTCCAGCAGCTCAATTATTAATATTTTTCCCCAAAATCTTTTTAAGCTTTTATTTGAAATAGAAATCTTTTGTAACATTATAAATGTGTTCACTGTCAATTTTGATCAGTTTAATGCATTCTTGCTGAATAAGTGTTCATTTCTTTTATTTATTTATTTATAAAAAAAAAAAAATTCAGTTATTAAATGTTTGGTATTGTATCACAGTTTTCGCAAATAAAATAAATAAAAATAAAGCACTGAAAAGAAATATTATTCAAGATGTCTTGAGTACCCAATCAGCTTATTTCTGAAGGATCTTGTGACACTGAAGACTGGAGTAATGGCTGCTGAAAATTCAGCTTGACCATCATAGGAATAAATTCGATTTTAAAATCTATTAACATAGAAAACTGTTATTTTAAATTGATCGAGTAAATGCAGCCATGGTGAGAATAAGAGACTTCTTTCAAAAACATTAAAAAACCACATCCAGTATTGAAATAAACCTCATCCGTCTTTCACAGGGGCGGCGGAGAAGAGCTCTAAGCATGGAGCTGAGGATCGCACGCAGAACATCATCATGGTGTTGAAAGACCGCATGAAGATCCGTGAACGCAACAAGCCTGAGATATTCGAGCTGATTCAGGATGTGTTTGGAGTCATCAAGGCAACACACGTGGCGCAGATGAAGCAGATCAAGCAAAGCGTCCTGGACGGGACGTCCAAGTGGTCAGCCAAGATCAGCATCACCGGTAATGACCCACTTTGACTAGTACAAGTTTATGTCATATCGGTTATATTAATATTAACCCTGTTGTTTCTCTGATCAGTATTATGTGCCCAGGGCCTGCAGGCAAAGGACAAAACCGGCTCCAGCGATCCTTATGTTACGGTGCAAGTAGGCAAGACCAAGAAACGAACCAAGACCATCTACGGCAACCTCAATCCTGTATGGGATGAGAGCTTCAATTTGTAAGTGGCTTCAGATCTCAATTAATATGTGTCAAACATATTTTGTTGAGGATCAGTGCTCATGGTGATACAAAAACATCTCAACAGTGAGTGTCACAACTCTTCCGATCGGATCAAAGTGCGCGTTTGGGACGAGGATGACGATATTAAGTCCAGAGTAAAGCAGAAGTTCAAACGAGAGTCTGACGATTTCCTCGGTCAGACTATCATCGAGGTTCGAACTCTGAGCGGAGAAATGGACGTCTGGTACAACCTGGGTGAGTAGCCAAGCATTAATTACATAAATGTAATGTTATATTCATGTTGCGCACAGGTCAAACAGCAATGCAATGCTCAAAGATCAAACAATTTCAACTGTGACGCCATTCGCCAATGACCTTTAGAAGCAAGGCCAAGGGTTACAGAACAGTTAGCGTGACATCATTAGGTGGGCGATCGCATATCATATCTCGTCTTTTTATGATATATCAAAGTGATTGGCATGACTTGTTTCACTCACTTTCTTGCTAACATACTGTAGCAACCTTGTAAAATTGGCATTGCATAACACTACCTTGCGAAAAAAAACACTTAAAAGCTTTATCACACTTGTATAGTAGCTCTGCAATAAAAAATGAAAAATGGATTGTTACACATTTTACTTGAAATTTTTCTTGCACTTCTAAAATCAATTAAATTTGACTTCAAACTGTACCTTTTTCTCCATATGATTTTCATGTGATTTTGTTTGCCTTGTGGATTTTTTTTTTTTGTACGATTTTTGTACAATTTTATTTTTCTTACAATTTTATTTTTCATGCATTTTCTGTATGATTTTTTTTGGGCGTTTTTTGGACAGTTGCATACAATTTTCGTATAATTTTCTTTTCAGTATAGTTTCTTTTTACGATCTTTATACGGTTTTCTTTTTCCATGCGATTTCCATATGATTTTCGTTTTTTATGGGTTTCATAAAATGTTGTCTTTTTTACGATTTTCCTTTCCATACGAATTTCTTTAAAAAAAACAATTTTTTAATGTGATTTTCGTTTTTTTTTTTTTGACAGACGCTTTCTGTTTTATGGTTTTTGTACCACTTTCTTTTATCACACAGTTCTCTGTGCGATTTTCTTGTTTTTTTTTTGTGTTTTTTTTAAGGTGTACCAACTTCATTTTGCTTCCTTTCAGACAAGCGTACAGACAAGTCTGCTGTATCTGGAGCCATTCGTATGCACATCAGTGTGGAGATCAAAGGAGAGGAAACTGTAGCTCCGTACCACGTCCAGTACACTTGCTTGCACGAGGTCAGTCTGACGCTGTCATGATCATATTTGTCATTTTCATTTTCCTCCTACCATTATTTATTAGCAAGCTTAATTACATAGTCCCTGCTAGAGTATATCAAATCAGTCCTTAGCGAATTGATCCTCTTTCCATAGAACCTTTTCCACTATCTAACGGACATCCAGAACAACGGGGTGGTGAAGATACCAGATGCCAAGGGTGATGACGCATGGAAGGTTTACTTCGAAGAGACGCCCCAAGAAATCGTCGACGAGTTTGCCATGCGTTACGGAGTGGAGTCCATTTATCAAGCCATGACGTATGAATCTCCCCTAAGTTTTGCCATTGACGTTTTAGCTGCTTGCTTACGTACTTAGGTACTTTTTGTTCCTTCTTGTTTCTAGACACTTCGCCTGTTTGTCATCAAAGTACATGTGTCCTGGAGTGCCTGCGGTCATGAGCACCCTACTGGCCAACATCAACGCTTACTACGCTCACACAACCCAGGCCACCAACAATGTGTCTGCTTCTGACCGTTTCGCTGCCTCCAACTTTGGGGTGAGTGCTTCATCCATCCATACGGAAAAGGAAGATTCCAGCATTGAAGTGTTTAGTGTTACTAATAATTTGGGGTGGTTTCGTGTTTGTTCTTTGTAGAAAGAGCGATTTGTCAAGCTTCTGGACCAGCTTCACAACTCCCTGAGGATTGACCTCTCTATGTACAGGGTATTGTGACTTTTTGGTGTTTCCTTGAGTAGTCACACCTTTTCTTGTTTCTGTATGAAGGATCTTTCTTAACTAAAGGTAAATGGTTAGTGTGGTGTTCGCCTGCAGGTGGGTTCATTGAATCAGACAAATGAGATTGATTTGTTTTGATGTGACTACATTTAAAAGCTTTAAGTTGTATTGAAATGTCTGAAATATCGGAGGAAGAAATGAGTATTGATGACAAAGAGAAACCCTTTCTTGTGTGCGTTTAGAATAATTTCCCAGCTAGCAGTCCTGAGAGACTGCAGGACCTCAAGTCTACTGTGGACCTACTAACCAGTATCACATTCTTCAGGATGAAGGTTAGTTGTGAATCCCTGATGCTGTTGATTTAGATAAACTTGGACAATTTTGCCTTTGGGCGAAATTTTGATGTGATTTTCTTTTTTTTAATACAATTGTTCAGTGATAATTTTTTTTTTTTAAATCTTTTTTTATTTTTTTTTTTTATACAATTTTTGTCCAATTGTCTTTTCATACAAGTTTTTCATGTGATGTTTTGTATGATTTTCCTTTTTTCTATTTTTTTTTTCTTTTTTTATTGTACAACAAAAATTTTGTCCAACTTTTCCGTTTTGTGTGACTGTTTTTTTATATATATAATTTTCTTTTTCATACTATGTTTTATATACAATTTTTGAACGATTATCTTTGTCGTACATTTTTCTCTTTTTTTAGTTTCTTTTCTGTGCGATTTTCTTTTTTACAATTTTTGGAATATTTTCTTGTTTCATACCATTTTCATACAATTTTCATTGCGATATGGTTTTCTTTTTATTCTTTTTCTAGAGTTGTCATTTTAATACAATTTTCTTTTTTTCATGCAATTTTCGTATGCTTTTTTTTTGCCATATAATTCTTGTGCAATTTTATTTTCCACATGGTGTTGTTCTACAATTTCTAGACAGTTTTTGTTTTTCCTATGATTTCTGAATGATTCTTTCTTTTTTTCAGACCACCTCATTTTGCACAGTTTTCTATGCAATTGTTCATATTGCATCAATTTATCCATCTGAATGGACCATTAACTTTTTTCTCCAGGTCCAAGAGCTCCAGAGTCCTCCTCGTGCCAGCCAGGTAGTGAAGGACTGTGTGAAGGCTTGCCTCAACTCTACCTACGAATACATTTTCAACAACTGCCACGAGCTGTATAGTCGAGAATACCAAACAGACCCGGTAAGTCGACACTTCCTGGCCCAGAGACCCTGATCAGCCCCAAAGCTCTTTGCCCCGGGAGCATCCAAGTCATTTTATCAAAGCAGTTCATCTTGCTGCTTTTGTTTATGCTGTTACAGGCTTCCCTCATAAATATCAAACACTCTTCCTGTTGAATTAAACATCTAACCCTGGGCTACTTACTATATTTTGCTGCGAAGCTCTGCAGGTTTGTTATATATCATGTTCCCCTGGAGTGGTTGGCATATTTTTGTTTGTTTGTTTGCTGGCTGAAATAAGCCATTCCTGCTGTGCGCCTTAGTGGGGTCATTTCTTCCAGAGGTTGGCAGATTATGAAAAGCCATAACATGCTTCAAGCTACCATTTCAAAATGAATTCCTTTTGTACAGAGCAAAAAAGGAGAGGTTCCTCCAGACGAACAAGGTCCAAGTATCAAGAATCTAGACTTCTGGTCTAAGCTAATCACCCTCATTGTCTCAATTATTGAAGAGGACAAGAACTCCTACACCCCCTGCCTTAACCAGTGAGTCCGTCACCATTTTATTGCACAAAATGTACATTCATAAACCTTTTGAGGGTCTTAATATTATGTATTCTGGTCCACACAGGTTTCCACAGGAGCTCAATGTCGGAAAGATCAGTGCAGAGGTTATGTGGAACCTGTTTGCCCAAGATATGAAGTACGCAATGGAAGGTGAGTCTAAGCTAAGAAGCTTTTCTTGATCTATCTAGCCTTTGTATTGATTGGTTCTTGATTTTGTAGACTATTTTGTAGACTCCAGAACCTCATTAAAAAGTTTCAGCTGTAGGTCTGTAATGCTCATAACTTGACTGATTGATGAGATGCAATAAAAAAGTTTGCTTCTTAGTTCGATTTTTAGTTAGAAACAAGTCTGGCAGGATTTCTCACTGATAGCCACTTAAATTTCACACTTGGTGAAAGTCGACATGTGGTGGAGTTCTTCTCATCTGCTGATTCAGTAGGGGTTCTCTGCTCTGCGTAGATGTATTATGTGCTGTTATATCTCGAACTGTTTCATGAAGAGCTTTTGTCTTCACCTCGTGGCTTTCAGAGCATGAAAAGAACCGCCTGTGCAAGAGTGCCGATTACATGAACCTGCACTTCAAAGTAAAGTGGCTCTACAATGAATACTGCAAAGACCTGCCTTTCTTCAAGAGCCGCGTGCCTGAATATCCCACGTGAGTGACTCCCGACGCCTCCCTTCTCACATGCGTATTATCCGAGTCATGCACACTCAAAATGTCACTGTGACCGTGGTATGATGGGTAATAGAGCTTTAGGTGGTGATGTTACTCTGCAGGTGGTTCGAGCCATTTGTCATCCAGTGGTTGGATGAGAATGAAGAGGTGTCTCGAGACTTTTTGCACGGAGCCCTGGAGCGCGACAAGAAAGATGGGGTGAGATTTATTTCTCTTGCCTTTTGGTTCCTTATCGAACCGAGGCCATTCGATGCAACAAATATCATAGTTTATAAATCAATAAAAACATATAAAGTTGTATATACAGTATAAGCAAAAAATCCCATAGACTTTGCAGCCTTGCAGCCAAATTTGACGGGTTGTATCGCCGACTAAGAATTTTGTAGAAACATCTGGGTCACCACATTTGAAGAGGCTGGCAAACTGTGTAAGAAACATACCTCGCAATGGGGTGTAAGTTGTACCCCTTGGGCGCAAGAGACCCCAAAGTTGCCCCATAGACATACTATGGTGAAGGAACTGAGCACATCTGTTTTCCACGCCCTAGCAACCATTGTTGAGCACCCTAGCAACCCAAATATGAATGTTGTAGAGGCATGGGGGTTGGTTTATATCATTCATAATGGCAATCAGCCTTTGAAGTATCACCATTGGCAGCTGCCAAGCCACTCCTTAACAACCAAACAGAGTACCCTAGCAACCATTTTGCAAGACCTATATCTCTGCATCAGAGCATCGTATGGACATGGGGCTTGGCTCACTTGATTCATGCTACCACACAGGACTTCAGTATGCTACACCTGCTAGCAGTGAATAGCTACACGGTAATAGCGATTAGTTAAACATGCTAAAAATCCTAACTAATCATTAGTGCTGTCAAACAATTAATCGTGATTAATCACATCCAAAATAAAAGTTTTACTTTACATAATATATAAGTGTGTACTGTGTATGTTTATTATGTATATATAAATACAAACACATGCATGTATATATTTGAGAAAAATTGTATGTTTATATATTAAATATATTTATATATAATTTAAAATATAATAATATAAATGTATATACATGTAAATATTTTCAAAATATATACTGTATGTGTGTCTATATATACATAATAAATAAACACAGTACACATAGATATATTATGTAAACAAAAACTTTTATTTTGGATGTGATTAATCGCGATTAATCGTTTGACAGCACTACTAATCATTAAAACATGTTCAAAAAAGACCCTAGTAACTGCACAGTGCCACCGCAAGCACCGCTCACATTTTCTTCAGAAAATGTACATATCTAGTTATTATTATTATTATAATAAAATATTTAAAAGACCATTGAGTAAGTTAAAAAACATATCTTTACATATCTTATTGAAACTGATAACACTTTAGTTACACTTGAGCTTTACATACAGTTGGACTATTGCTTTAATACTAGTAAAAGTAATAATAAATTTGTAGAATCTCTAAGAAAATTTGAAAGCAAAACTGGAAATTTACTGTAAAGCTATACTTACTATTTAGCTTAGCAGCTGTAATAAGTTACAGTAACAACAGACCTCACGCCTGCAGCCAGACATGTCAAAATTTGATGAATGAGTGCCCTTTGGAGCACCTCAGCATGTTCCTGAACCAATAAGCACACTCTTTAGTTCATTACTTCCACCGAGCCCCCTTTGGGAACCTGCCACAGTCTCACCTCGACCCAATTATTTCCAGACGAAAGAGCTCACGCCTGACATCTGGTCGCAAATTGCTTGCGTGGTCTCTTGTGCCTTCTATTCTAGAGCTTTTTCTGACTTGCACATCCAACTCTTTTTTTCCTACAGTATCAGCAAACTTCAGAGCACGCTCTCTTCTCCTGTTCGGTAGTGGACGTCTTCTCGCAGCTTAACCAGAGCTTCGAGATCATTAAGAAGCTGGAGTGTCCAGACCCACAGATCGTCGGACACTACATGAAGAGATTTGCCAAGGTCCTCGTGATCATTCCATTAATATCATTTGTAAATCTGTTAGTTTTAGCCAAGTGCACAATGTGAGAGTTTATGTCTGTCTTTTAAGAATATTGCTTGTCAAATAGTAAAACATTACGTCAGTGAGTAAAAGTCAAGTGCTTAGCTTAGATTTTGGTCGCAAGCTTTGGTTGCAGATTTCTGTTAGCATGATCTGTATGGATCATATGAAGAAATGTTTTACAAAAGCAACATTAATATTGACCTTCACGGTCAATCTGTGGAATAGTTTGCGTTTTCATTGGACTTGTTTTAACATGCTCTCTTTACCCCACAGACCATTAGCAATGTTCTGCTGTCTTATGCGGATATTATCTCAAGAGACTTCCCCAACCACTGCACAAAGGAGAAAGTGGTAATAGTCTAAAAATCCCTGTGGAATCAGGTTTATATTTTTGAAATAGTTGCTTATATCCGGAATTGATCTCATTTGGTTTGTGTTCTCTTTTTCTTTGATTTTAGAATGCAAAGGATGGTGCTGTCAAGGTATGTTGATCTGACATGGGTAGAATATGCCATGCAGCTTTTTGGCGGGTTGAGTTAGTCTTGTGTTGAATTTCATGCATTTTAACAAAGTGTTTTTGCTCCCCACAGCCATGCATCCTCATCAATAATATCCAACAGCTCAGGGTACAGCTTGAGAAGATGTTTGAGGCCATGGGTGGTAAAGATGTAAGTGAACCACAAATATGCCAATAGGCTTAGCAAAGCCTAGATTTGCTTTTTGAGCAAAGACGTACAACCTTCTGAGAACCTGGTCAAGTTCTGGTGGTTTTGACCATTGATTATTGTGCCTTTCAGTTGAACGTTGAAGCTAGCGACATCTTGAAAGAACTCCAGGTGAAGCTCAACAATGTTTTGGATGACCTTGCAAGGATCTTTGCCACCAGGTGAGGTACCAAGGGATCAGGAAGAAGTAGTTCTATTCTTGGAGTAACATCTGTTCTCCACCCACTAGTTTCCAACCAAACATTGAAGAAAATGTCAAGCAGATGGGTGACATACTTAGCCAGGTGAAGGGGACAGGAAACGTGCCAGCAAGTGCTTGCAGCAGCGTGGCACAGGATGCCGACAACGTCCTCCAGCCCATCATGGACTTCCTTGACAGCAAGTAAGATGCTAATCACTAGATTTAGACACTTCCTTGGAAATTCCACACCTTCGCTTCGCTCTTAACTTTTTCCTTGTCAGTCTCACGCTGTTTGCCAAGATCTGTGAGAAGACAGTGTTGAAGCGAGTGCTGAAGGAGCTTTGGAAGCTGGTGATGAACACAATGGAGAAGACAATTGTTCTGCCACCTTTGACTGACCAAACGGTAATGAACTGTTTATAATGTAATTAAGAGAAGACTTTTGAGACATACCTCATGTAGAAATCATTTTATATAAATGCCAAAATTGTTTACAGCATTGTGTTTTCTGGTATGCATCATGAAGACTCTGAACAACTGGAAATGTATCTCCTCATGCCCAACAAAACATGTCCCTTTCCAAAAATCAAATCACCTTTGACAAAAAAATCTTTCCACTCTAAAAACATTGGGAGTGCACCATATCATTCAAGCACCTCTCGAGACTGCTCTCTGGTCCTGTAGTCACACAGTTGCACATTTCATGTATGGTAATCTTGACTAAAACGTTTTATTAAGTGTATTTCTATATATTTGAATGCTAGTTCATTTTTGAGAGCATTTCTACAGGAACAGAGACAACTTACTGCTTTTAATTTGTCTTGATATAACTGTGTATTTTTGTTTGTATTTGTTTATTTTGACAAAAGAGACCCATATCAGTTATTTCAAAGACTGAACATTTGAACGGGAGACATCTCCCTATTGGCCTAGTTAACCAGTTGCCAATTACTGTTATGCTTACTGCAAAAAGCCAAAAATTGAAGTAGTAATTCACTCAAAATGTAAATCCTCTCATGTAAATCACCCTCGTTCCAAACCAGTATGACTTTCTTACGTCTGTGGATTCACTTTTGTACAGTCCTTGTCCTGCAGGGTCAACGTCCTGCAGAGTTTAGCTCCATTTGTCCCAGAATACATTTCTGCAAGTCCTGAAAACCTTGATTAGCCGGTGCAGGTGTGGGGTTTGGAGCTAAACTCTGCAGGACAGTGACCTTCCAGGAGCAGCCCTGGTCTATGGAAGTTCATGTTCATGCCGCTCTTTTTCCTACAATGAAGGTGCTTTCATGCTCCAAAAAGAACATTATAAAAGTGGCCTATATGACCTATGTACTTTATTCCAAGTATTTTGAAGTTTTGAAGCCTACATTGCCTTTGTGTAAGGAATTAAACAAAATTTAAGTTGTTATTCATTGGACACACCGACTTTGAATATGCGGCAATGCAAATGAGGTTTGATAGCTACTGCAAATTTTCATTCTCGTCTGTTCCTCAATTTGCTTCAGAAGTCTTTAATTACAGTGCATAAGTCGTATGGAATACATTTGTGTTACTTTATGTTTATGTCCATTTTGAAGCTTGACATCCCCTGGTCCCCAACCACTTTCACTGTATGGAAAAGAGCAGCTTGAACATTCTTAAAAATTTCTCTTTTTGTGTTTTATGGATGAAAGAACATCACGCAGGTTTGGAATGCAGTGAGGTAGAGATTTTTCATTTTTGGCTGAATTATTCCTTCACATTGGGCCTGTTTTAGTCCCTCAGGCAAGCACAGACCTTGGGACTTACTGTAATATCGTATCAGGCCTGAAGCCGGTCCTGTAGACTGAATGTTAATGCTTCTTTTGATTTGATGTGGGGCTCTTTGTAGCTTCACTGACCCTTCTCTCTGGTTATTACATTCTCGCTCTCCCCCCGCTCCACCTCCACAGATGATAGTAAGTACCAGAGCACTTTTGTCTGTGCGTCTGTGTGTCCCGCAGTCCGTCCATGCCGGGTGACCCCCTTCCCACCACCTCCTTCTGCTCTGTGTGGCTGCCAAGTCCCTTCCTCTTGTCCAGTGCATCCTCATTCGTCTGTCACGTCTTTCTCTCCTTCTCCCGCTGTCTCTTTCTTCTCTTCTTCGTCCATTTCCTCTCCTTTCCCTTGCCACCTCAGTGCTCTGTATACCCGAGGTGGCTGCAGCATGGTGCATCTCCTAATTGACTTGGACAAGGCCCTTTTCCGCCCCAACAAAACTTCCAATCTGATGTCCGCCCCACGTCTGACTGCCAACCCCTTCCTCTACTCATTCTCCTGGAAACGACGCTCTTTCGCTACCAGTCTAGTGTCCGTGGTGGGTCTAATATCTGGGTGACGTGAACTGGTTTCAGGTGGTCCACCCTCCCCTTCTCTGTCACCTGTTTGAAACCTCTCCTCTGTGGGTTGTTGCTTGCGTCTGATCTTCACCTCAACTCCTGAGCCTCTCTTTTTTTAGTCTCTGCAGACATTATTCTGTCAATCTGTTTGGTTTTTGTTGTACCAAAATCGGCCCGATGGAACCCGAGGTCTCATACTGATGTGTTTTCTGGGATATTATTTTTAGATTTCCCCCCTATTCTCAGGCTTGAGAAATTTTCTTTTAACAATATAGTCTATTCATTTGTTGTTTGTAAAAAATTCTATTGCCATTTTACGGTGCAAATATTGTTTGTTTTTTGCTCTGCCTTTTTATGTGATGTTACAATCCATTAGCTTCCATTTGAAGATGTTTTCATCTCTTTTTTTTCTAGAATTGCCTTGAAAGATTTCATAGTTTTCGTATTTGCCTAGTTTAGTTGCTCCCTTAGATTACAAAGAATACAAAAATCTGAATTCAATATTAATTACAAGAATGAACTTGAACCACTTTAAAGGGATAGTTCATCCAAAAATCAAAAGTCTGTTGTCATTTACTCATGTCTCACATCCATATAGAAATTCTTTTCATCTGCCGTAGCTCTAAAATGTCATTCACATTAACGTATATTCAAATATGGCACATCAAAACTGCTTTGCATCGGTTTTAACATCAATTAAGTGATGGGATTTCAATCTTTTTTTAATCACGGGCCAAAATATTACCATCCTTTCACAAGGGAATATAAAGAACCAGTCTAAACTGTGAAAAGTTAATACTGTAATATTGTAAAATATTTAGTTTCTATTATATTGCATAATATTTTTTTCTACGCACTATAGTATTATACATTTAGGGTCAGGTACTGTATTGTTAATAAATAAATAGTAAATAAATGTCAATATTTTATTTAAATCAGTTTCTTTATGTAGTGTAATCTGTATTTATTTCAAAAAAAATAAAAAATTCTCTAAAGCTTTCCACCGACCAGTTTTCATAGACATTTTGAGAACTGAATTAAGGGAAACATCTTTTAGCAAATAATGACTTTTTCTGTCCAAGTTGTGCAGACTACTTATGACACTTTTTATTATTATTATTATTTTTTAAATATAATTTTTGCAGCTCCAGAGCCCATTCACTTTCATTACATAGAAAAGAGCAGCGTGAACATTCTGTAAAACATCTCCTTTTGTGTTCCACACAAGGAAAAACGATTAATCAAGTACAAATCAAAATGAGGGTGTGTAAATAATGGCAGTTTTCATTTTTGGGTGAGCTGTCTATTTAACAACAAACTGAAAACGTATTTTGAATAATATTTTTTCTTTTTCATAATTTGCCTCTAACATGAAATGATGTGATTGGCCCGTTAGTCTGTCGGTTACTGAATAATGGACAACCTATTAAAGAGCACCAAGACCAATTCTCAAGTTAATTACACTATCCTCTCTTCACAGGGCAGGGTGAAGCTTGCTTGTCACAGTGATGTAAGGACTGAATCCCCATTTAGCTCAATGTGTCCTGTCTCTCTCTCTCTCTCTCTCATGTCTTCTTTGTGTGACTTGGGTCCCCCTGTTGAAACAAACTGGTGGAAGCAGTGTTTTTTACCCCTTGTTTTCAATGCAGTTGTGAGTTTCCCTATAGCCTCAGACCTATGTGCCCATTCAAATCCTCACATAGTTAATTACAGGTGCTCGGACATGTCAGGTTAAATAATGCATGCATGACAGTCGCTTTAGACTTCGATGTCCATGCGGGTCTAAACGACTATTTCTTTTTGCGATGTCAGAAATACAGTACTATTTCTGTATACTAACGATTTAATTTTCCAAGAAGGACTACATTGTACACATTTGTATAATGGTATAATAAGGTGCACAAGCCTCATTCACTTAGTGATATATCCAAAAATTAGAGTATCGGCCAGTCGTAGATACTAGATATATCACCAGAGTGGTGTTGTTCGGGCTGTGGACCTACTGGTTTTGTAAACCTTTCAACTCTTGTCTCTGTCTTCTGTATGTAGCTAGTTTACCGTCTCATGTTGCACAAACAGTTGTGTGTCGATGCGTGGCTGTGTGCAAGCGTGTTTGGGGGTGGCGGGGCACGCTGGGATTATGCGAGTGTGTGTCTGGCGTTTGAGACCGTCTGTTTCTGACCTCTGTGATGTGGCATTTCTGTCTACAACCCTGCTGAACTCTGTGACCTGACTAATGTCTCTTTGTTTTTCTCACTTCCTCCATTTTTTTTCCTCTTCTTCCTCCAGGGCACTCAACTTATATTCAATGCAGCCAAGGAACTTGGTCAGCTCTCCAAGTTGAAGGTATGAAGGTTTTTTCATTTCTTTTCATTTCATTTTTAAAGTAAGTGTGGCATAATATAACCCAGGATTACATTAACTCAGGGTTAAATAAACCTGAATTAACAATTTTCAATTGTAAAAAGATCATTGTTGTATTTTGTGCTTATAAAATGTTGTCCTTTTTGTAGGAGCACATGGTTCGTGAAGAGGCCAAGGCACTGTCCCCTAAACAGTGCGCAGTGATTGAGTTAGCACTGGATACTATAAAGGTGTGTAAAGAGCTGAATGTCAGTGTAAAGACTGTCCTCCACTAGTTTGTGACAACGCAGTGTTGTGCAGTTTTGTGTTTCAAATAGTGGGTTGTTAAATATAGTGTAAATGTGGCTTTTTTTCTAATAGTTTCCTTCTTCTACACTAGAATATAAATTCCTTTCTGTTTTAATTTTTTTCATTCTGTTACATAAGTATATGCGTTTAATTTGCACTAAGTACAGCACTATCCTTCCTTGTAATATTCAATTTATACTCCAGTCAAACTTTTGCCCTTTATCGCATTCGGTGGATTGTCTTTGCACCTTGGGATGTAGAGGAGAATATAATATAGACTTTTTTTTTTATGTAAAAAAAAAATGTCCTTCTATCCCAGTTTAATAAGCAAAGACAACTATAACAAGCCATTCGTAGGTTGTTTCCAGGGATTCGACATGAAATGAATCAACCGTAGCTTTTCTAGTGCTATCACAGCATCGCTCTTGTTTGTTTGAGCATCCCGACCAGCCAGACACAGCAACATTGTCTCAAGTAATATCTCCTGTTTTGTGGTTTCTTAGCAATACTTCCATGCTGGAGGTGTAGGGCTGAAGAAGATGTTCCTGGAGAAAAGTCCAGACCTGCAGTCTCTGCACTACGCCCTGTCCCTCTACACTCAGGCCACTGACAAACTCATCAAGACCTTCGTTCAGTCCCAGAATACACAAGGCAAGGCTCTTCCAGACATCTCACCGTCTTTAAATATCAATGACTTAATCCAAATACATCAGTCTTTAATAAAATCAGGCAGTCTGCAAACGACTGCCAAATTTATTGTTTGCGGTTAAAGGGTTAGTTCACCCAAAAATGAAAATTCTGTCATTAGTTACTCACCCTTATGTCGTTCCAAACCTGTAAGACCTTCGTTCATCTTCTGAACACAAATTAAGATATTTTTGATGAAATCCGAGAGCTTTCTGACCCTGCATAGACAGCAACACAACTGACATGTTCAATTCAGTTCCATGTGGCATCAGTGGTTCAACCGTAATTTTATGAAGCTACGAGAATACTTTTTGTGTGCAAAGAAAACAAAAATAATGACTTTATTCAACAATTAGTATACAGTGGGTACGGAAAGTATTCAGACCCCCTTAAATTTTTCACTCTTTGTTATATTGCAGCCATTTGCTAAAATCATTTAAGTTAATTTTTTTTTCCTCATTAATGTACACACAGCACCCCATATTGACAGTTCCCAAAGACTCATGGCTGTATTAGATCAAGAGGGTGCTTCTACTAAATACTGAGCATTTTTCAGTTTTTCTTTTTTAATAAATCTGCAAAGATGTCAACAATTCTGTGTTTTTCTGTCAATATGGGGTGCTGTGTGTACATTAATGAGGAAAAAAAATTAACTTAAATGATTTTAACAAATGGCTGCAATATAACAAAGAGTGAAAAATTTAAGGGGGTCTGAATACTTTCCGTACCCACTGTATATGTGATGGGTCCAAAATGTCCACTTCTAATGTCGCATTTTTCTAATTGAATACATGTGTTTTTCATTGAAGGTTCTGTTATCAGCATAAGAATTTATATAACTAAATATGTAACGTATAAATTGTTATTTAAAAATAGTTTTCTTTACTTTCAAAATAAATAGCTTTTCCTTATTTATTTATTTATTTATTTAGGTTAATCTGGTCTCCATCTTTCTTTCTCTCCCTCACACACTTTGGGAATCCTGACACACTTTAGATGGAGATGCCCCTGGCAGAGCCATTTTAATAGATAATCCTTTAAAATGTAATTAGGGTAAATGTCACTGCTTCATTTAAGTATTTAAACACATATGAAAGCAAGTGTGTGTGTTCTTTCTTTCTTTTTTGTCTGTCTTTTTTTTTTCTTTCCATCTCTCAAATCCCATTTCACTATGTGCTCTCAATTTCTTTCTGTATTTTTCTGCGTCCTCTCCTTCTCTTTCACCAGTTCATGGAGGGAAGGGGGTAAGGTTCACCCATAGTGAAGACGTGTACCCAGAGCAGGGTACGTTCACGTGGGGCCCGGTGCTCCTGACGACAAAGAACCAATCAGTGATCCACCCAAATCAGATCATGCACCTCCCATTCCAACGGGCCAATCGCATGCCCCACGACCACCCATATGTTCCCACAGAAAGGGCCTTGCATGTATGAGTACCTGGGAAGAACATGCTGTATGTTCACATACATTGGTCTGAAATGTATCTTGACGCTACAGCAGCAAGAAAGCCCAGGATGAAGTGTGTTTTGAATGGCAGTGAATGAGGAATGCACACACTTCTGCAGTGTGAGAGGCGCATGTGTGCACTGCGGATGACGAGCCGCGAGTGAGAGACAGTGACGAAACATTACTTTCCGAGCGCTGAACCACATTGTCAAATGTAGATGTGACATTAATTGCGACTGACTCAGCTTGTCCGCAGGCGCAGGGTCTGTTCTGCTGCTCGGCGCGATCTTCCCTCACAACCACGCAACGTGGTTTCCCTCCCTTAGGCTCAGTCTAACAAGACAACCCTCCCTCAGCCAATCAGAGTTCGTTCCTGGGGTCAGGTGATGAGCTTTCTGTCAGTGTACATCAGTTCGGAAAGGCCCTAAATTGGCATTTAAGGGCCCCGTAAAAAATCACTTGGATATATGTGAATATAACTTGAGGTTTGAGATGCTCGAGTCAAATTTACTTTATTTGATTATTAGGTTAAAGATGTATTATTTTCAGAGACATAAGGGTTTGATGAATGGAAGAAAGTCTGTCATATTTTCATGAAAATACTGATATGTTATGATCAAAAAATCTTAAAATTAATAATCTAAATATATATATATATATATATATATTT